TGCTCTGCGATGTGGACGACGCGGACTCGCTGGCCACCATGGCGAGGCAGACCCGGCTGGTGCTTAACTGCGTGGGCCCGGTGAGTGCGGGGATGCGGGCGGGGCGGTGTCCCCGCGGCCTTCTCCTCCTCCTCCTCCTCCGGGGCCGCGCCTGGGCTGCGGGTGGCCGCGCAGGAACAGCGCAGCTCTTGGAACTCGAGCCCGGTGTTCCAAGTACAGACGCGTACTGCAGTGGCCGAAGGGTGTCCCACCGCCATCGCAGGTGGTGCGGTTCAGGACAGGTCTCCGCATTGAAATACAGCCGTGTTGGTTTTCAGTCTTCCACAGGCAGCCTAAGATACTGACTGGCCCAGCGTTTTGGGTTGGGCCAAAATATCAGTGGTGCTGGGGTTAAACATGGAGCTGGAAAAGGGGCCCACGGGCTTGCTGCCAGAAGCATTTGGCCCTTTTAAAACTTACAGTGGCAGTATTTGCAGCGCATTCAGAGAGCATCAAAGTGTGCGAGGTGGAAGTTGTGTAATGGGCATCTCTTTGAAATTCAGAGTTTTTAAGTAGAGAATATGCCGAGTGCATAAAGTGTAAAGTGAAATTAGTGGCAGTATTCAGTTGGTCTTGGTGATCTGATTTTACGACAGAAGTCAGGTGCAGTACTATGCAGCAAGCTCCGTTATGAGCAGTGAGGTTTATGTTTTCTTCTCCCCACAGTCCCAGTAAATAGAAGTGTTGTTGCATTTTAGCCCCACTTAGAAAAATCGATAGCTGAGGTTCACTTTTATTGCAGAGATGTACTTTAGGTAAAGCACACTGGGTGAGATGTGATGTGTATGTTTTCTTTTGTTACATCTGGTGTTCTTTCCTTCTATAGTATAGATTCTTTGGAGAACCTGTGGTAGAAGCTTGTGTTGAAAATGGTGCAAGCTGCATTGACATTAGTGGAGAACCCCAGGTATGTGATGGTAAAAAACCACTGCCTTATATAATCAAGGCTCTGCAAAAGGAGTGTTTGTTTAGTATGTTTCATGCTTCTGCTAATGTTTCTGGACATGACAACAAATTCTGACTCCTGATCTATGATTTTAAGATGCAGTAATTGTTTTAAAGTACACTATACTTAGTTGTATAGTTTTCTTGCTTTTAAGACAGGAGCCTCTTTGGTTCCCTGTAGAAGTCCCAAATTACCGAATTCTGCTTCGAGACTCTGTTGTGATTCTGCATAGGAATTTTGTACTTCTTTTCTCACTGCTGTGAAACTTTCATATTACTGACCAGGAGGCATATATATTTGTCAAAGATACTTGTAAGTGGTTTAAAGCATGGAAGGTGCTATGATGTGACAGTGAAGCACTGATGGCTAGTATTGGGTATGGCTAAGAATGAATTTCAACTTAAAATATTTGTTCTGGCTGTGTTTCAGTTTCTGGAAGGAATGTACCTGAAATACAATGAAAAAGCTGCAGAAAAGGGAGTGTATGTCGTTGGAAGCTGTGGCTTTGACTCCATACCGGCAGATATGGGAGTACTGTACACTAGAGACAAGTTGAAAGGTGACTGGAATAAATGCATTTTTATGGTGAAAAGGGAATGCAGATTATGCTGTCATCCCATTTCCTAAAGCAGCAGTAGTCCTGTGGAAACTCTTTCAGTGTCTCTTTTTTCCTGCCTTTACCAGGTGACCAGTCTCAACCAAATGTGTTAGAAATTTAAAGTCACATTCCCATTGGATGGGTCATTGGGTAGGGGAGGGATTCATGGTCATGTTGCTCACTGACAGGGCCCTGTGATGAGCCCAGTTGTTCAGAGCATGGTGCTAATAACACCGAGGTTGTGGGTTCCATCCCCATGTGGGGCCATTCACTTAAGGGTTGGGCTCGATGATGCTCGTGGGTCCCCTCCAACTCGGAATATTCTGTGAATCTGAGAGGACAGAATGTTCGGCTGTGAGCAGCAGGCTGCTCCACCAATGTGTGGATGTCCCTAGGCAGCCTCAGCACACTGCCTCTTGTGCAGTCAGAATCTCATAGGGAAGAGACAGTGGGAAGGGTTCCACAGATTAGGGGGAAATCAGGTTTGCCAAGTTTCCTTTTTCAACTACAAGCTCTGAGAAGCTGTTGTGTGAGTTTAAGTAGCAGGACAGTGCCATGCAGTGCTTTTTACTTTAATAGCAGCTAGAGGGTAACTGAAAGAGAAGTATATTTAAGAAAATACGTGAGAGGATTTAATTCTATGTAAATAGTACTTGATCCTGATCCCAGATGAGGATACTCTATTCATCAGGTCTGACTTTCAGTTGGGAGGGCCTATAAGAGTATCCAAATGTTTTGCTTTTATGGACTATTAAAAAGGCTGCTAAATGGGATTGGTTTACATTGGAATCAGCATTCAGTTGAAGAAACCTCAATTCAGATCTGACTGGAGGAGAAACAAGGCATGGAAATGAGTATCTGAATGTTCATGAGGTTGTAATTTGATGTTTGATACCTGTTTTGAATAAAGATGTCTTTTATCTCGTCCTATTTTGACTTTACGGCATTACCCCTGTCTATCCAGTTGCTTGCTGTATTGAAATTTATCCATACAAATACAGTTTTCCAATCTCAGAGCTAAGCAAAGCAAAACAAATCAGAATTTGGAGGCAAGGTGTTGTTCTGCTGTTCATCGAACTAAGCCTTCTTTACAAAACACTATTTTAAGCTATGCTGGACTTAAATATTTTGGGATATTTTGTGTTTTGGGGGGGAGGGGGTTGAGGGCTGTTTTGTTTCAGTGGTGGGTATTTTTTTATTTTGGGTGCACCAAAATTTTTATGTTCATGTTAGCTTTCTCATCATCCTTTATTTTGAAACTTGGAGGAAAACTAAATGTGCTTCTTAATATTACTTTCCTATTTTTTTCCAAGGAATTTTTTTACATTAACTAGATAAGAGAAATGGAAAAAATTAATTAATAGAGGTAATACTAGTGACCTGTATTGAATTAATTTACACAAGAAATGTAATATTTGCTAACTCAAATAGCTGTGTGTCTTAATGTTACATTATTTTGCTTTGAGAGAAGGATGTAACTCTGCTTTTTCAGCTGATAATGTCAGCAGCCTGCTGGTTTGAGTCTACCAGAGTGTTCTCTAGCTTTGCAGAGTAATGACTCTGTGTGCCAAATAATGTCTTCCCTTCCCTTGCAGGTACCTTAACTGCTGTTGAGAGTTTCCTGTCAGTGAAATCTGGGCCTGAGGTTAGTTGGTCTCTACCTTCCTGAAACTCAGGAGTATTTGTGATAACATCACCATAGCCCGTCAGAATAAACTGTTGCTACATTAAGTCAGACCAAGGAGCAAGCTGGCAGGTCTTTGATGATAAGTCTAAGAACTTCATTCTTTAGGAGCTACTAAAAGCATCCTAAGCAAACACCCTTTTGTAAGGTATGTTTGCAGGGCTGTCTACCTACACTTTGCTCTGGTAAACTGTTCCAGGAATTATTTTGCTTTTGCAGAGATGTGGGAAGGATTCTTACACAAGTGAAACTGTAACAGGTCCACAGTGTATTGCTAGTAGTCCTAGTGTTAGGCTGTTTGGGTTTTTTGTTTGTTGGTGGAGGGAGAGTTGTTTCAATGTACTTCAATGCATGTAATGACAATACCTGTACGTAGTAATTGTAATAATGTGTAATATATGTAAGAATTCTAATGTTGTTAAAACAATGCAACCATGATCCAAGCCAGTCTTGATGCCCAGCAACCAAACACTACTGCTCCTGGCATGAGCACCCATATTGCCTTACAAACCATTTTTGTTCTTGAAAACATCTGGAGGAGAGGAGGAAGCCCATGGAATGGGCTGAATGGGAGAGTAGAGTATCTATCTGTCTGTTAAGGAACAGGGGATACT